CGGGGGGGGGGAACCCTTTTTTTTTTTGAAAAAAAAAAAAAAATTTTCCCCTTCCCCCCCCCAAAAATTTTTTTTTTGGGTTTAACCGGGCCTTTCCCGGGAAGGGGGTTTGGGGGCCCATAAAAAAAAGGTTCCTTTTTTTTTTTGGGGGGGGGTTTTTTTTTTTTTTTTTAAAAACCCCCCAAAACCCCCCCCCCCCCCCCCCCCCCCCCCCCCCGGCCCGCCCGTTCCCGACAGTCCCGTGTGGGTGTTTTTTGAGAGAAGGAAGCTCCTTTTCCTCCTCGTTCCTTGCACAATCATCGCATGCACTCCTCACAGCGACGTTTACCATGTTCACAGAGGAACAATCCTTTGCCGTTCCATCGCTGAACTCAGCACAGTGCCTATGCTCTTACGAGGACGCCAACGAACAACCACGGTATGAAGCAGGCGATTGTTCTGTAGTCTACAGCAGTAGTTGTGCCGCTTCTTCACGCCAGCATGACAGCTTTGGCTAACCATGCGGTGTGCCTCGTGTTTGAGAATGGGCTGCGTAGAAGTAGAAACTGCTGTAGAACTACTGTGGCTATTGGTCTTGGGGGGGTTTCGACGGGCATCTTACAGACAGCATCATGCAGTGCTGCCATGGTGTTAATCGAGCCGTTGGCTGTTGGGGCCCCGTCGGGGAGTCCTGCTGTAGACTAGATCGCCGGAAATATCAACGCGTGCGCTACACATGTACGCAACTCCACCCATGCACACCTACAGCAGACAAGCACCACCTTGCTTTGTAGACGCACTCTCTTGTTCTGCCTACTCTTTCTTGGGCAAAGAAAGTTCGTTCGTTCGTCTTTGATGCATTGTACTCTCTCTGAATAGATGTCCGCGGCCCTCACGTTGTTGCGAAAAATTGAGTGCAACCCACTTGTACACAGCCGCTGCATGTGTGTTCAACGTGCGATTACAGCTGTAGTACTGTAGTCTGCTCCACAGATTTCTTGTCTCTACTTCTTCTCGTGTGTGCATAAGCACGCATGCGCAACTGGCTGTATGTACATACTTCTGTGCTTCACCGATCGACTTGTACGCTCGTCATTTGCCGATACTCAAGGCTGCTGGTTGTCAACGAGACGGGGCTGCTCAAGCTCCGGGCAGGCCTCGGCCCGGCCGGTAACCGCTTTGGCCTGGGACAGCTTCCCGTAGAATCGCTCCCGGAAGTCGCCAAGGTCGTCGCTTGTACCGTCGTTCGCACGCGTCGGGGAGACGGCAGTGGCGGCGGCGGCGGCGGCGGCGGCGGAGGTGGGCGGACCCCCGGCATCGTTTGCGTTGCGATGCTTGTGCCCCCGCTCCCGGCATCCGCAGCCGTGGCGGTGGGCAACCACGGAGGAGGTGGCGGCGGGACTAAGCAGGGCGACGCAGCCGGAGGTCCTGCCGTGAGAGCGGCAGCGGCGACGGCTGCGGGCGGCGGCGGCCTCCTCAACGTGTACCCTCTGGACGGCGAGAGGGGCTCGGAGGTGGACCGAGCTCTGCGACGAGAGCCGCAACAGCTGGTGTTGCCTTACATGCCGGTAGGGATGGCGCACACAACGGTGTGGCGGAGTGTTGCCGCGCTCCCTAACTTTGTCGGAGGGGGAGGGAGCGGGGCAGGGGAAGGAGCCGGTGCGTCGTCGTCGTCCTCACCAACCAACAACAACAACAACAACAACCGTCGGGTTAGAGTCGAAAGAGGAGACGCCGTGCTCGTGTGGGACCAAAGCGGGATGGTGCATGGGTATACGCGTTGGGAGGGCGGCGGCGACCGCCGAACCGCCGCCGACAGCAGCACCAGTAGGGGCGGAGGCGGAGGAGGTACGGGGAGCGGAGGGGGCGCCACGGGCCACGTCTCCATTCTCACCGCGGAGTCCCGGGAGAGCCTCGAAACGCTGATGCCAGAGCTCAGGGGCATCGACAGCCCGGTGTCGTGCCTCGCCTTCGATGCCGTGGAGGAAGGGGACGGCTGGGCGAGGAGGCGGAGAAGAGTGCTGGCCGGCTGCATGGAGAGCGCCCGCTGCGTCTCGCTCCACGATGCAGCCAGCGGGCGAAGAGAAACGGCGGTTGCTTCGGTCCCCGGCCCGGTGGGAGCCGTAGCGCTGAACGCGCGCCCCCGGTTCATGCCGTACGACCGGCACGTCGACGACAGGTGGGGCGGAAACGTCGCCGGGTTCGCTTGCACCGAGCTCGACATGTTGGCGTGGCTCGTGGAAGGCGGCAACGCCGCTGGTGCCGGCGTCGGTGGAAGGTGGTACACCGGCTCCCTCCCGTTGGTAGAGGCCGGCGGCGGCGGCGGCGACCAGGTGACGTGCATGGAGTGCGCTGATTTCTTCCGCGACGGCTCGACAGCGGTGGCCATCGGCACGAACCTCGGCAAGGTTATCGTCTACAGTGCTGAGCCCAACAACGGGGGCGGCGAAGGGGGCTTAGCCGGGGGTCTGGAGGAGGTTGGCAGGGTGGACGCCGGCGGCCGCAGCGGTGGCGAAGGGCTCGTGTTCGGCTTGGAGGTCGACGGTGACGACAGCAGCGAAGAGGACGAGGCAGGTTGTTCGTCGAACCCGGTTCAGCCGCCCTCTCGACGCGGGGACAGCGTTTCGCCACGGCCTTCCGGGTTGGCGTCGTCGTCGGCAGATCGGCAGTTCCACTCGCGTCGCGTCGCGGACAGACAGGGGGGCGGCGGAAGCAGGGAACAACAACAGCAGCAACGGCCTCTGCTGACTGCAAGGTGGCAGCGGGATTTGCCTCACGGGGTCCTTAGAATCGCGTTCGGCGACTTCAACCACGACGGCGTAAGGGAGTTGGTCGTTGCGACGCAGTACGGGGTCCACGTGTTTCGGCCGGACTACAGGGCGGAGGCGAGCCGGTTCGCGAAGACGATGCATGCACTGAAGATGCTCCAGCCGAAGGAAGACGACGGGGGCGACTTCATGAGCAGCGCGAGCGACAATGATCATGATGGTCGACACGAAGGTTCCCGACCACGTGGCGCGGACGCATCAGGGATGGAGACTCATGGCGTTGGTGCCGCCGCCTCGGATGGTGCTGAATAAAGGGTTGTTGCATGAGAGTCCAACAAACCTCATTTAGTTGTTTTCTCAACCAGTGTATTCGTCGTCTACCTTGGTATGTATGGCACGTGTCTTTGCTTGTTTTACGGCAAGCACTGCTGATCGGAAACTAGAAATATCTGCGTGGCAAATGTGCGCGTGCGCGTAATGGTTCGGGGCCACGCATGCTGTCATGCATGTGCATCAAGAGGGCTCGTGTTGCAGCAGTGCGCAAGAAGAGTGATAGGGGATGGAAAAGGAAATAACTGTAAGAAGGTCATGTGTCCTATCTCATCCAAGGATGGAGAAACACAAGAAGAGAACGTACTTTCTGTGCCAACACCGCTGTGCGGCGAATCACAAAAAAAAAGAAGGAAAACGAACGAGAAAGGACAGGGCGATGCCGTGTGTTCGTTGCCTGCAAGCCCGGTCGGTTGCCCCGGTGGCCTAGCGGTGAACCTCGTAAACTTCTAGAATCTAGAAGGTCTGAGTTTCATTCTCTCTCTGGAGTGAAAAAAAACTTGGCGATGTGCGGTGGAAAATGATGAATTCGTGCGTGTCCATACGTCGACTTCATGATCGACGAGGGGAAGGGACAGCTGAACCCTTCTCGCGACAAAAGCGTAAGGCAAGCACCGCACGACATAAGGTGGGGCATGTGAACTACTGTAGTCTTAATACTACATACAAGCTCCTTTGTGTAACCCCGGCTGAGGTCAAAACACACACACGACGAAAGGTGTGTAGCTGGCACCAGATTTGATGGGACAAACACACACACACACACACACACACGCACGTGTACAGTATGAGGGAGGAGTTTGGTGCATGCGTCATGGTCCAAGCGTGTACAGAGACACACGAACCCCCTGAAACCCGGTTGGCCTGAACCAAACCAAGCGAAGGTTGTATTCCAAAGCTACACATACATGCTGTGTGCGTGCGCAAATAAAGGCGTTCACTATTTGGCAGACCCCCAGACCCCCACTCTTTCATTCCACGGCTCCCCCGCTCGCTGCTGCTGCTGCTGCTGCTGCTGCTGCCCACACGCGGTAAACCTATACCAGTACATGCAAGGAAGGTTGTGACACAAATACTTACAAAAAAAAAAAAAACGTTCTGACCTCCATAAACCTATACAAGCGAACCAATC